TATAACAGTACATGAAAAAACAGGAATGGATATTCTTCCTGACACATTTAATATGTATTTTCCCCCTGTAACTCTTACTTGTCTTCCCATAGACAAAATGCCTATTCAAGAAAGGTCTGTTTTGAACTTGTGTGTAGCAATTGCAACATCTCAATAACATTAAACATTTTCAGTTAGATGGGGAAAGTGTCCTTTATTGCAAGCTTTTCTACATTAGCTGTTTCATACTTACAGTATTTCATGTGAAATAAAAAATAAAATTTTCATTTTTGCTTTTCTGTACTATACTTGGTTTAGGATCTCAAATTTCATAAATAAACTTTAGAAATTGACTCTATTCTTTACAGAAGTACTGCATAAAGCTGTATCTCTGTGTCTGTAAAATATATTCTGTTTCACAAGACCTATTAGAGCAGTATTTCTTTTCAGGTCCTTTCCCTACTAGCAAGTAGTGATATACCAGAGTACATTACACTATGCTATTGTTAGGTATTTTGTCTGGGCCCACATGTTTTAACAGCCTTAGAAATGTGTGTTGGGAGAGAGGGAGAAGGTCTTTGCAAACAGTGTAATTTAATCCATGAGGGTCACTTTTGTAGAGGAATCATAGTCTCTTTTGCAGGAAAAGGCAAACGTTGTTGCTTCCAATGACACTCAGTTATCAACAATCAGAAGTTAACCATTTGTCTGACAGCAGCATAAGCTGATAGAGAAAGCTAAACCACAGAAAGACTGCAAGTTTGGTAAAAGTCCTTTCCTGTACCCGAGAAGCTTGCTGCACTTTCTTACCCACTTATCTTTGTGTAGGGTGTTTTCTTCCTGATTCCCTCTATTGTATTTTCTTCTGAATGATTTGCTTTTTAGGGTGGCTATAGCAGACCTACATTGTCCCACTACCCTAACATTAAACAAGAAGGTTCTGATCCATTCCTTATTTTATCTCCAACTTCATACCTATAGTTTGTATCCAGCCAGAACTAGGTAAGCTCTATGGGGGAAAAAAAATCACACACTGAATCCAGTATATTGCAATGAGGGGTTGGTAGAAGAATGAGCCTCTTCAGGCAAGGGGGTAGGGGTATCCTGGAAGCAGCTTTGAGAAATACAGATTTATGTTTTTATCCTTAATTCTGCTTTGGTAATATATTTTTAAATCTCTGACTTCAGAAAATTTGTTTCCTTATTATTAGGAAGTACACAAGATGTATTTATTTCCTACTTGTGTCTAACCAAATATTTGATGTTGTAAAGTATTTATAAGCCCATTTAATGTTGTGACAAATTGCTTGCAGTAATCTCAGAGATCACAGAGATCTAAATGGTGTTTGTCCCACTTGCAGTAATCCTTTGATTTTCTAAAAGGAGACTACTTATTAACATATTAGAAGGGGAGCAGTTTCACATACATAGCAAGAGAGTGCCAGTCAGGTAGAAAGTGGGACCTGTAAAGGCTGGTTTCTAGAATTAATATCCAGATAACGGATATTTCTCCTGTGTCATTAGTCTCCATGATGTATACCAGGTATATCAAACTCATCCAGCCAAGGATTACGGGGCTCATCTGTGGGGTGGATTGGGATTAACCCGCTGTGCCCCATACAGCAACTGCAGTGCTGGGTCCAGGCCACATGCAGCATGCGCCAGCCCCACACAGCAGCTTGCACTGCATATGGTATGTGGACTGAACTCAGTGCTGTATACAGCACAGGGATCAGTCTGAGGTATGCACTTCATGCAATACCTTGCCAGACTGGCCCTGTGCACTGGCTCCTGGGCCAGTTTGGATCAGGCCCCAGACCACCCATGTGCACTGGATCCAGTGCGCAGGGTCGGTATGGCAAGGTACAACATGCAGCCTGTGCCCCAAACTGACCCCCTGAGTTGTGTGCAGTGCCAGATCCAGCCCACACACTATGTACAAAGCAATCCCCAGTACCAGTCCATGCTGTACTCAGTGCACAGGCTGGACCAGCCACACATGGCACAGAGAACCAGCCCACAGCACCTGGTGTGTGCAGCACTGCACTTGATAGGCCTTGCACGCTGGTTTGGCATAGCCCAATCCAGACCAGCCACAGAGCCAGTGCGGAGGGCCAGTGAGGCACAAACAGTGCATGCAGCACACACCCCTAACCAACCCACTCTGCTGCATGCAGCACTGGGTCCAGCCTGTGTACGACATGTAGCATGCAGGGCCGGTGTTGGCATGCACCCCATAAGGCACATGGGGTTAGTCCGGAGACCAAGGGGCTGGATCATACAGCTCCGTGGACCAGATCCAGCCCATGGGCCATATGTTTGACATCTATGCTGTATACAATATAGGTAGTTTATTGCCATTTGTAGCTGGTGGCATCTACACATCACCTCTCTTGAACACAGTACTACTTCTAGTTAAATAATCAACAGTGATTGGACTTTTGGGGGGGCAGGGGAGGGGAGGTTATGCTTAGTAGAAAAAAGTGATGTTTCAGTTGTCATTGTCAAATCTGATGAAATGTATCAGATTTCAATTACTTTTTATGTTTTGTTAGAAAAGAATGAAAAATCTTTAAAATACAACTCCGTGGGATTGATCTATTTTTATCAGCCATTATTTTTATACACGGTCCATGGGTAATTGTGCTGGTAATTGACCACCTTATCTTATGCATCTCATTAGATTATAAAACTTTCTCAATTAATTTTCCTAAAATTGAAAATGACAGAGAGGAAGAAGCTGTGGATGAAATCAAGGAATCCAAGCTGCAAATTCAACCTACATCTAAACTGCTGTGGCCTGTTGAGAATATCCTCTGGAATTAAAATATATTTCTGCTAAAACGGGAACCAAGCCATGAAGAAATAATGGTTTATGTTCTTGAGCTCCTTGTTGCGGCTGCAGCAACTGCAAAGTAGCTCACACTATTCTCAAAGCTATATCAATATTTTTATTCCAGTTCGGGAAAAAATAAACAATTTACTATTAAAAATTCTGTTAAATCTGTCAAAAATTACCTAGGGTGGTTTCCTGGAGTTTATATGCTTGGCAGCCCAGGGTTCCGTGCACCAGGTTCCTTAACAGCTACTTTGGTTGGCTCACAGGCACCCAAAAGCATGGGGATCTTGAGACCCTAGGCAGGGAAGACGCTTGGTATAGAATCAGATGTTTAGTTATAATGTTGACTTGTAATATTGCATTTGTTATGTACAAGGTCAACCAAGCCATCAAAGCAATTTTCTTTTTTTAGTTCTGATTCAGTTCTCTGAAGTATAGCATTTCATTTTCAACTCCCAGACTGATCATTTGAAGTTCTTGTTTTGCTGTTTTTATGTAAGTTAAATCTTTTAGGACATCTTTTAGGTCTCATTTGTTTTTGGGTTTTTTTTTCTTTTAATTCACTCCTGTAACACTATAGTCACTACTTACCTAAATCATATTGTGATATGTCACATTTATTAAGCTACAATGTCAATAATTTAAAGATTCCATGATTAGAGAAGTTTACTTTTTGCTTAACAAGGTTATTCAGATGTGTTCCTGAATGATATGCATTGAGTATAAAAACTAACCCACCAAAATTTATATCAACAAATTTTAATCAAGTGTGGGAATCACAAAAACTGATAGATACTTTAGTGGTTTCTAGATATACAATATGTTTGTAGTCGTTTAGATAATAATAGTTGCATGTAAAATGTCACACCATTCTTAGTTTTGATTACTATACAATATAGTGATATTCTATTTTTATAGACTACCTTTTGTCAGTATGTTTCTCAGCACTTTTCAAAAGATGAAAGTGGCATTAGCCTTCATTTTGCAGATGGGGAATCTGAGGAACAGAGGAGTGAAGTGGCCTTTACAAAATCACCCAGCAGTCTAGTAGCTGAACTGGCAATATCATCCAGGTCCCCTAAGGCCATCCAGTGCTCTATCCCCTAAACAAACATTTCTCAAACTCTGGGTTGCAACCCAGAAATGGGTCACAAGAATATGTGAAAGAGTTGTGAACAAACTTTATAAATGGATCAACAAACTTTAAAAAAATGGATTCTCCTGTAAAGGAGAAACACGTGGAAAACCATGGCTTTACCCTTGTAGAGTGTCACAGTTCCAGCATGTGGGGGGCTGCTTGGGGCCCCACACATGGGGTGAAGGCAGGGCTAGGACCTGGGGGTGTGTGGCAGTGGCTCAGGAGAAAGGGGCACTGAATTGGAACTGGCCATCACTGTTTACAAATGGGTCCTGGTACAAAAAAGTTAGAGAACCACTGCTTTAAATTACACTGCTTCTAATTCATATTAGCAGCAATGATTCTGTTTTTTGTATCTGTTATGCTGGGTTTATTCATGGCTATCAAAAAAAATGATCAAAGCAAGGATTTTTGTGGATGATATCTTTTATTGGACCAGGTTGAGAGGGCCTTAGATGAGCTTTCAGGTACCACTGTACTCTTTCTCATTTGCCCTAGACCATCACAACTGCAACATCATCCTAACACTAAATAAAAATGATAAATTGTGAGATGGCTATTGTCCTTTTGTACATTATACAGTGAGACTTCCTTTTTATAGAGTTTAAATATAAATATGTACTTATCAAAAAATCATTCCATATTCTCTGACTTGCTATTTTGCTCATTGTAGCATCTAATTAACAGTAGGCTTGTTTTGGTTACAAGCCAACCAAGCAGTTCTGCAGAAAAGTTATATAATAGCCCTAATCACATGAATCAGATTATATGTAAAACTAGCAGTTTACAAACTGCAAATTATCATACAATAAAAGAAATGGCATTTCCTTTAAAATAATCTAGAAATGACTGTTTAGCCAACATTTCAGTAAATATTCAAGTCAGAAATAATGATTTTTGCAGTCTACATTCATGGATGTATGTATAGTATTTTATTTACCCCCAAATGAACGACTGAAGATCTTGTAAAACTTGAGACTGCTAATACTTACTGCTGAAATGTAGTTTGATCCTGGTAAAGTGCATAACTTTCTTCTCCTTTAGAATGAAGTCACCCTGCTGAGAAATGAAGTGGCACAGCTGAAACAGCTTCTTCTGGCTCATAAAGATTGCCCTGTAACTGCCATGCAGAAGAAATCTGGCTATCATAGTGAGTAATGTTCCATTACCTATAGCCTCAGGCAACATCAGTGAAATACTGCCAAAGTGAACTGAGCGAACATTAAAAATGAGAAGCGCGGTTCTAATATTACTATTAAATGTAAAAAATTCTGGAAGTTTATTGCAAGGCAGGAATGAATGTATGATATTTTCAAACTGTTTTAAGCTTGTGAAACTATTTAAGCTTTTGACTTAAACTTCAAACATTCTGCAACATTTTATAGACATTTCCCTTGCTTCAATAAATATGTATGGTAAATAGAAAAGAATCATAAGAAATAATTCTGTACCCACTTTTGTTAAATAGAAGCAATATATTGACAGTATATAATAAACCATCTCTTTTATGCTTTATCTTATTCTGGTAAGGCAAAGAGTCGTTGTTTCTACCATTTCATGATGAGATTACATTTGAGGGTAGTGTCCTCATTTACCAGTACACCCAGGATCAGTCAATCTATTAAAATAATCAGAAGCAGGTTCCTAACTACTGTTTTAACTTATATATAAATTAGCTGTTTTTATTAAAAAAACTGAAGATGTTTGAATTTTTACAGTACAATTATAATAGCAAGGGACTCACTGAGAATTCACAAATTTAAAAAAAATCAGGAAAAATATGCAATTTTAAGGAAATTAAGTTTGGTATTCACTTTTTCTTTTTCAGCATTTTAAAGGTTAATTGTGTTCTTCTTACTTGTTACTTCATTTTTTGGATATGATGCACAGTACAAGAACCAGCTGCTGCTGTAGAATAAATGGCCAATTTTGTCCATTGTACACAAATTTGTAACAAATAACTGAGCAGGGAATGCATTAGGCAACATTCATAATATATAACCCACAGCTTTCATTTTTATGATTTAGTGATATTTCAGGATATTTGTAAATGTGAAGATTGTTTCTGCCATATGTAGCCACTTCATTTTAATTTGCCAGTGTCAGTAATTCAGGAGAATAAAGGAACATTTTGTATTGCATGCAAACAGATCCTCAGGTGCTTGCGATAAAACTTAATGGCCACCATCTTTACTTGTAGTCATTGTAAGCAGTTTCATCAGAATGGGCAATATTTTTTAATTTAAAAGATTCAGGAGATTTAGCAAGTCTCTATTGCCATATATATTTAGAACACTGATTTTTGTCAGTTTTGAGCTTATAAATCTTAGTCCTTTGATCCCCAGTCATTTTGACAAGATGGAAAATAGCATCTTGGAGTAAATTGGAGCCATATAGAAATATGTTTGGGATTTATATTAACAATGATTGCTGCAGGGATGAGGCCATTATGGCTCCCATCTGACAAACAACATAATTTCATGTAGAAGCTACTGGGGGATAACATTATGCATGCATGTTTTTTTTCTAAACAAGCTGGGTTTCTTGAATTTTGATAGCAGGAAGTCATGTATATGTTTGGATTTGCAAGAAAAAAATCTTAAACTTACACATCTTCAAAACAGGCTGGCAAATTAATTACAAATTAAGGATTTCTTTATTAAAACACCAAATATGTTTGTTGCATATATTTTCTGCCTTGAAAAGGTACAGTAGTATTTCTAATTCACTGTAGATCTTGAGGTACTTAGGATTACCTTCATAATAAAAGATGTTGTAGTAAAACTAGTTTACCAAGAAACAACACATAACAGAGTATGTAAGATGTCAACATGCTTATCGATATAAAAAAGAAGCCTGTGTTTTTAAAGAAAATATAAAGAAATGACGAGAAGGAAGATATAAAGAGCTGGTAATTTTTTGAGAAGACCTCTATCATCTTACAAAAACAATATTTATCTACTCTTATGTTTAGTTTAGTGAGTAGTATATTATGGGAGGAACTTGGTAGATAAAAAATGTATGTATATATCAGAAAAATATAAATACACAAAACGCTTGCTAACTTCTGTATAAGTGTTATGAGTTGGGTACTGTGACAACATTAACCTTCCCAATATTTCTGAGGGAAATAATATGATGTTGGAGAAATGGACAGGTTCAGTGACATGTTCAAGGAAGAACCAATTAAGATCAGTTAATATGTTTGCAGTAGTGGTCTGCATAGGACTGACTTGACATATTAAACTAACAGAGGCTTAACTGGGTACTGGGTGGCAGCTGCTTATGGGACAGTGTCAATGGCTGTGCTGCCAGCAACGTGCGGCAGCCAGGCCAGCAGTGCAACCGCTGTGGTTTTTGTGCATGTACATGCACACGCTTATGTATATCTCTTGCTCACTTTCTTACACGCACCAGGGTCAGTGCTGGGACTGCTGCCGTGGTCATCCCTGCTTCATTATACTACTGGAAACTAACAAAGTTATGCCTTGTGTTTTAAGAAACAGTGAATAGTTTAAAGTCCTGTGTAGTGTAGAAAAAGCCAGAAGAGATGATTAGAATATTCCTGCAGTGTTAAGTGTTGTACACTGCTGAGATGCAGTTAATTTATACCATATATTCATGGCGTTAGCAGTTTAGTCTGCAGCTCATGATGCACTCAAAAAGGCACAGGCAACCATTGGCTTTACAGAATATTTTTGTTAGCTGTTGAAGGAACTTTTGAATGCAGGATTCATTTTTGCTTCACACAGAGTAAATAGTTCAAGTACGTAGGTCCCTCTTTTTGTTCTTAAACTATTTCTAGCTAGCATTTTTTTATCATTTACTTTAAATATCCTCAGCCTGCTTTTAGGGAGGGTCCCAATAAATGATCATGACTTAAAAACCAGAAAGGCAAAAAGGAAAATTGGTGAATTTCATGAGGCTGGATGGAACAATATCTGAGTAATTACTTGGTTGTAAACTTGGCGTCTTCCCAAGTAAGCATGCTACTGAGCAAGCCCTTATGCAAGGGACAGACATTACACATAAACCGGTTTAAGTGATCAGAAACAGGATTAAAGCTGTAACAGGACTGATGTTCAGTGCACATAAACCAGTTTGAAAATGGCTGAAACTGGTTTGAGATGAACTTGGTTGAATGTAGCGTGAGACTTAACTGATTTTGGGTCAAACCAGTGTATGCAATGTCTGTCCCAGACCCCATGCTGGTTTAAGTTAAACCAGACTCCCCCAGCATCCCGGCATGCTCTCTGGGCTGAGTGGGGCGCTCTGCTCCACAGCAGAGCTGGCCCCTTCCCTCTGCTCCCTGGCTGGAGCTCTGGCAGAGACTACAGGCATCTGCCTGGTTTTCCCCGTTCTCCCCCTCCCATCCCCATCTAGGAACCTTGAAGTAATACAAGAAAATCTTTCACTTGTCTCAGATATTTACATCACCTTCGGTTTTCATCTACTGAAAACTCATTGGTTTTGGATAGATCTTATTTTGTCTGTTAAAGCAAAAAAGCTTTATTAGCTCAGCTTTTCACTTAATACTGCTTGCGTACTAATTGGGTTAATTAAAAGTAGACTCCAAAACACTTGAAGGACTATTTTTTTAACTGATGAATTTCGTTAACAGCAGTTAATTTACCAGTTACCCCAATGTAGAAAATACCTAGAGCAATATATTCATTTAAACACTTTATATGTTTATATCCATTAATCCAGTAAGAAGACTTTGTCATAATAGCTAGCTTTCCTCTTATAGTGAACTTTATCTACTCTAGATGAAAGGTTTGAGTTTACTGAAAGACTCCTTTTCATTATTGGTATTTGTCATGAGAGTAATTTGAGTAAATTATGTTGGGTAATTTATTTGAGAAATTCATCTATATGATACAGAATTCAATAAATGTTGTTGGATGTCTTATTTTTATGGACTTGTGTGTGTTATGTATTAATTAGTTAACTCTTACCAGAAAACATTCAGGTGCCAAAAAAGCGATTGAAATTTCAGTCTGTTGCTGTCTAAATTTCAGTCTATTGAAAGAATGAGAATGTTGCATTTTGTTGAAGTATTGTCCAACTGAGCAATAACAATTAAATGTATTACCTTTAGGGAGAATGATTTTCACAAACATTAATTATCAAATAAAGAATTATTATATTGCTGAATCACTATTCAAATGCAGTATCCTGTGCTTCTTAAAAATCTGAATCCAATTAATTCATGTAATTATAGAACAGCTGGTTGTATTTAGTCTATAAATATTGCTTAAATATGTGTGTGGGTCATTAGAATCAGGTGTTATAATCAGTAGTCGCTGCATTAGGTAGAAAATCAGTCAAATGTAACAATGGTTTTAAAGATATGGGAATAATTATTTCAAAATATGACATATTTCATCAGTACCCTAACCTGGTATCCATGTTTCCATTTTATAGGAACACAAACTAATACAAACTATTCCTTTATTATCAAACAAATACCAAAAGTAAACTAGAAACAAAATTGTTTTGACAAATGTCTTGCCATATACAAGCCATTAGTTTTAATTATATGGAAAATTCTTAATGTTCTCTGAGATTTTTTTGTACATTTCAGGAAAATCCAAGTGAATTCTTTTTTAATCTTTTTCTCCTCAGCTGCAGATAAGGATGACAGTTCTGAAGACATTTCAGTGCCAAGTAGTCCACATACAGAAGCTATTCAACATAGTTCTGTCAGCACTTCTAATGGAGTAAGTTCAACCTCCAAGGCAGAAGCAGTAGCCACATCAGTTCTCACCCAGATGGCGGACCAGAGTACAGAGCCAGTTCTTTCACAGATTGTAATGGCTCCTCCTTCCCAGTCACAGCCTTCAGGAAGTTGATTAAAAACTTGCATTACAGCAGTTTCTTAGATACATGTTTTTGACTTCAAAGGGAAATCAAGAAAAGACCAGTCTTCACCTAGGAGAAATCTGTAGCTTAAAATTATTCATTTTTAAAATTCAGATTTAAATTTGGCTTTAAAGATTGGCAGATGAAGATGAGACTGAAAAGTAGTTTCCAGTCTCTTTGCAAAAGACTGATTTTTTAAAAATATTAGATTTACTAGTTATTTTCTGTGCTCAATGTGTAAAGTGTGTGTACAGTACAATGTGGTTTATTTCATTTTTAATTTGGTTTTATTTCAACAAATATTGGGGTGAATTACTAAAGCTCATTCCCAAGACTGTGATGATGATATTGTTATGTGACATTTTATACCAAAGTTCTGCATAGTCCCTATTGACTTTGTAATGTTAACAAGGTCATAAAGCACTAGGCAAGAGAAAAGACAGTAACAGTAAATTTGCTTTTAGTCTTTTTGCCTTTTTATTGTTTTGCACATTATGAGAGAGAACATTGGGAGAAAATGTTTGCTTATATTATGTATAGCTTTTTGTTTGGCTTTTTAACTGTTGATTTTTTTTTTTAATTCGTTCAACAGGGCCAGTACAGTATATGAGATACAGTACTCTTATGCACATACCTAACCTAGATGAGGGTCATTACTTATTAGATTTTTTTAAAACTGATATCAATTTTTTCAACACTTTTTCCTTTTTAAGGAGAGGAGCTTTACTTCTGCAATCAGAACAAAGTTCTGCAGCTAGCCTTTGTTACTAGCTTAATAGGAAACAGTAAGAAGATGCTGTACAATTACAGGGATCTCAGATATGGAAGAGTTTCAAAACTAGTTTGATATTTTGTGTATTTTTGAGTTGCAGACTAAGGAGTTCATTCATACATGAATATGTTCTAGATGCCAGAAAAATCTAAAAATCCCTCTTTAGACAAAGCAAGACTTTTTTTTTTGTCATTGTCTTGTATTTGCAAGCTATCTTGTACTTAATTCTTGTGTAAGCACTGTCATCTTTTAGTAGCAACATTTTGATACCTTTCTTGTGGAAAAAATCAGTATCTACCGTATCTTGGAAACAATGTAATTATAATGTGATGTGTGTGGTGTGTGTGTGTGAGAATGGTTCAGTAGTTTATGCCAGCAATCTTTGCTTGAATGTTTAAAGATGCCTTCAATGTGATGCTGGCTGATAGATGATTGCAGTTTTAAAATGTTATTTACTGTGCGAACTTGGATAAACTAACATTCCATGATGTAGTTTGTTTCTGATGAGATGATTGTAGGTACACTTTTTCTCATTATCCAATCATCTGTAGGATATTGAGTTTTTTAAATGTGCCATTATCTATTTTGATTCTGTACTCATGTTCAAACTACAGTACAAGATTTTACAGTAGGTTAAGTTGTAAAAAAAAAAAAAAAAAAAAA